AAAACGCTGGCTTATAAAGGGTTGTAAGTCAGCAATATTCACAGCTAACACATCTGTTTAGCACGAGCCAAGGTTAGTTTTAGCTAACAGTCCCTATGCCAATAATGCTGAAGTAGAGAAATTTAGTCCATTTTTCATGCTTTTCGGCTGTGTTTCAGATTTCCCTGCGCCGTCACTGTGAAGCTGGGGCGGGCAAATTTGCTGTACAGGCAAAGTGTGTCTAGTCGTCAGTGCGTGTGCCAAGTTTGGTTGACTGATCTTAACGGGTTTGTGAGATATTGAAGTTTAAATTTGACAAGTAAAAACACAAGTTGTTCCTTGACTTTTTTGGGCGAGTTTGCTTACATATACTGTACTTGAACTCACAAGCACGAAAAAAGGAGAACATAGAACATCCCAACATAATTGATTATATTCTCTGATGCTAGTATGATTTATTGTTTTCATCACATTATCATCAACTGCAGGTGTTGTAGTTTTCGTTTAAGGGCTACAGTGGCTTCTGCTGTCATTTGATCTTTAAAAGAGAGCATACGTTCATTCCTATCGTCCTATCTCGATATAAAGTAGCCTACTTTGTTGATCGTCGAGGAAATCTGTTTTCATTATTAATGATCTTCTCGAACAAAAGTCTCTATCCAAATGGATCAGAGACTTATAAATTAAAACTCCCACACTCTCTTACATCGAAACTCCCTCTGTCTCCTGCTTCTGCCCATTTTCGAAAGTTCGCTGAACTGTATATTGTAACTTTTCATCAAAGAGCACACATTTTATTTGTCTTTAAGTCTACCCACGTCAAAAACACCCTTAAAAAAAAATTCCCGGTCTCCTATAATCAATTCTTCCTACGCTTCACCTATTGTTACTTCTCAAGAACAATCCAGAAAGTTGATACAGATACAGAACAATCCTTTTCACCTACAATAGGTGATCAAATAAGTCATAATATGCAGGAAGATTACCTGCCATTTTTAAAAAAAATCCAGCATTTTATTACTTTGGGGACAAGCGTAGGATAGGATAAAAGAACCTTGAAAGTTATGGCTATTTATATTTAGTCTTTCGTGAATTTTCTACAGCCTTCCATCTTTCCATCAATTCATGTATCAAATTATTTGTCTGTTTAGATATCTCATCGTTATGTCACCCATGCACTATTCTGTCCACCCCACCGTCTCCACGCATACTCCTCTGTCTCTCGGTCTCTCTGTCTCTCTGTCTGTCTATCTACCTGCCTGTCTGTTTGTTTCGAAAACATAAAAATGCAGCGATATTTCTGTATTTAAAATATAACACGTCTGTTGGAAGATGACGAAAGGCGAACGTTAGGAATGCTCCAAACTGGAAGTACACAGTGAAATGTGCTCAAAGGCTTAACGTCCACAGAAACAGCATTGACGTTTGTAGGCACATATCTACTATCTATCTATCTATCTATCGACCGATCGATCGATCGATCTAATCGATCTATCTTTCCTCTATTCATTCATGTATTCATTCTTAATTTTTTTTAAACCCTTAACCTCACCATCAGCTGTTTGTCATTTAATTATGCCTCCTTGTGTCCCCAGATCACTTATTGTAACTGGCTTCTAGTCCTGATGGCCATAGAGCGGCTGATGGCGGTCCGCTACCCCTTCCGGATCCATTTCCAAAGCTGCCTGACCCGTCAGAAGGCAGGAGTTATCTCCGCCATTGTAGGCGGGGTCATTGCCGGGATGTACCTGCCTATTCTCTGGGCATCCACATATCGGAAGAATGGACAGGTGAGTCTTCTGTAATCTACAGTCATTTTCTTTTATTTCACCCCCCCCCCAACCCCCCCCAAAAAAAAACAACAACAACCCCACACTCCTCAGATCCTAGACGTACTCAACAGCAGGTTCTTCAATCTATAATGTTTTACCTACTGATATTTACCTTACAAGAATCTTGGGTTCATTGCCTTTCAGACACACAAGCCATTTTCAGAGGTGCTGTTAAACATCGATGACAGTGTACATCAACCTTTTTATAACCAGGGTCCACTTTAACCACTCTTAATAGGCTAAGATGTTCTTTCCGACCACATTCATGTATTTCCAAATTTCCAAGCGGGGTGTGAAATACAACCCTTTATTTTAATGAATCAATTAATGAACAATATTCATTTAAAAAAGATATACAAACATTGTATATTAGGGGTCTTTTTTAACTGTCATGATCGTCTCATGTTCAGAAAGTGTATAGCATAGCACTTTTCCTGTTCATTTAAAATTAATTTCACACGAACTCTGACTCCGTAACAGTCAGAAATCATTACTTTTTGAGATATTGATGTTTTTATTTGAACTAAATTATTGGAAGTCTGGTTTGCATGTGTGCACATTTCTGCACTAATTTCGAAGTAATATGATTTCGTGTTTGGGAGGGGCCAAGGCAATGGCGTGATTTTATTTTCCAATTGAGGGGGAAGGGGCGGGGGGGGGGGGGGGGGGGGGGGGGTAGAGGAGTAGGGAGCGTCAAAAGGACAAAAATACGGTATTACTTTTGTCTAGTCTGTCCACCAAAATTACCAGATCGCCCATTAAGGTTGGCAAGTAGTCAACTATGATGATCAGAGTTCAGACAGCTGGCTTGAACTGCTGCTTCTTTCAACTTCCAAGGTGGCCTCAATGTTTATACGGGTCCCACGGGACCTTTGCGCGTTTTGTCCTCATCCAAGAGTACGAGGTACTCGATAACAGCCAGCGTGTGGTCCGTGGTGCAAAAAAACCCAACAACAACCGGCTATGAATGCACGAAACAACCCAAGATCAAATAAGGTCATTTTTTCCGTTGAGGAAAGTACTTTGCCTCCGGATTCACCAACTCCCTATTTAAATATAAGTGTAATTAAATCATTCTGAACGCTAGCACTTGTCCTAGAAAGTCCAGAAAAGTACGAACGTCCTTCGAATGCTACTCCCCGACATTCGTACATCAGTCACGTTCTCAGGCAAATGAATGAACAACAGTGCCAGGACCAGCCCTGGGATGTCGGGTAGTGGTAAAGATCACGATGCCTGGGCCGTTCTAGATCAATTCTAAGACAGATTTTCGGGATAAAAATTTTATCTGAAGCAATGGTTGTTGTTATAGTAGACCAACTTTGCTAAAGGAATACGCTAGTCTACAATAATTGTAATAGCAGAAGAGACGCCCCCGTGCTATATCTGATGTAAGAACCATTATTGTAATAGACAAAATGAAAACGCAAATCAGATGTGTTATACTGAGCACTACGAAATCGTGAGATTTCTTCTGTCAATTGCCATTGTGAAAACTGGCCATACATGTATTTCGGAATAGAAATGCTAGAAAAGAAACAGCAGTTGATCAGATGGGTACAGCATTCTGTGTAAGGAGAGTTTACATGTAAGATTTGTTACCAATTACAGGGCTGTTTGTGATGATTTATATGTTTATTTGGTAGCCTTTATTTTGAGACCATAATCCCAACAAAAAGACAATTTATCAATGGTCGCCTCCCTCCTTGGAAGCTCGACTTCGATCATCAAATACAATATCATGCATTGCTAGTTTACGTTAGTTTGTGAATAGACAAACGTTTTTGAAACGTGTTATTTTAACCGTCTTAGATACATGCAAGCTTCTTCTTGCTTTCCTGAACACAAAAATGCCACTTTGCAAGATCGATAAACATGAAAGACAGATTTTGCCCGAGGAATCTGGTTCTTGAAAACTCAGCAGATCTCTCCAGACTATCTTTTTTCCTTTCTTTCGGTCCCACCCACTCTCTCTCTCTCTCTCTCTCTCTCTCTCTCTCTCTCTCTCTCTCTCTTCCTCCTCCCCCCCCAGTG